TTTGTGTGAAATGGTTAATCTATGTGCAGATCGCCATTGCTGTTGGTCTACTCCGTCCCAGTTCCATAGTCCAATATCCCCCCAAGACTATGCCCGGGCACTCATCCCACTCGCTTGCACACTCCTGCAGCAGGCAATTTTTCAGGCTTGAAACACCAATTTTAACCAAGTCCGGGAAATATTTATTCATCTTATTCACCTTTACGTATCTGTAAGTTATATATATATATGCATATATTATAGATATTAAACAAAAAACAAATGGACAACATGTATATGTCCATATATGTGTGTATAATATATATATATATATGTATATATATATATAACTATATATAATTATACAAAGCAAACATGTGTCATTTCATGTTTACAACACCCGCAGACTTCTGCGCGCCGTGGGAAGTCCGCGAAATCCGTCCTCCAAGAACTTTCGCAACGGATGGCACAGCAGCTGCTTTTGCCGCCTGAGTCGAGCGTTGCTGCCTATGGCGAAGGTCAACGATGCATCAACTTGCTGACAAGTTATCCAGTTCTCCGGGCAAACGATACAATTCTTTTATCCCCAAAATGGAATTACTTCCTTCGATCCCACCAACTGACATTGACATAGAGTCGGACATTTTATCTGATATTCTATCATGACCTCTATTGTGGCATTCCATCTGCCATATCCTAGGACATCTTATTTGGCATTGGAAGTTGTTGCGCATTTCAAAAGGCTTAGGTCCATGAATTGTTTTTTTTTCACACTTCGACTTATCTATGTGGAATGTAGATACACATTAATACCGGTATATGTCTTTTCAACCTTTTGTATGTCAGCCGGCGAACAAACTTTGCAGATCGCCAGTTGCCACACTCATTGCGATTGCGCGGATTTCATCACCAAGAGACTTGACATTGCCATTGTTCATTTGCAATTCACCTGAGAGACACTTGGAGCAGCTCCGAAAACCAGTTGAGATATGTTGAGATGTGTTGAAAAATGCTCAAAAGAATGAACAAAGTTGTTGCTGCATGTTTCTTGACATGAAATAAAATTGAGTCCGAGCAAAGGTTCCGCATGACAGACTGGAGCAAGTGTACGATTTTACACTTTTTGCACTATCCATGACATCATAAGCGAAGAACAACATAATAAAAGAGTGGTTGCTTGTTTTCACAAAGGAAAAACAACAGCAAAAATGGGGTTCACCTCTGGTAAACTAACATAACTATGGAAAGATCCACCATTTTCAATGGGTAAATCCACTATTTCTATGGGCCATTTTCAATAGCAAACTGTTAGTCATTACCGGAGGGTATCGTCTACAGACTTGGAACGAAAGTCATCCCATCCCATGGTAACCCTCCGCTGAGATTCCTTGCCCAGGCTGGGGCAAATGGAGGGGATGGTGAACTGCATGGTCCTCGGTTTCGGTTTCTGGTGGTTGGTTTGAGGTAAACCATTAATGCCCTAGCTATCCCTAGCTATAGTAGATACCATGGATACAGGTCAAGATCTGGTTGTTGATTTTGAAAAATACTTTTCATAGATGGGACTTCTATGGAGACTGGGAGAATGGTCTACTACATAATATAAGACAACAATAATTTAATACTAGTACGTGGCGTTATCTTGATCACACATCAAGACTGAAGCCTATTTGATAGGATGAAAACTCGAATGTTCAAGTCATTTCACATTGGTACTCAAACACCATGCCAGGGTCAAAACAACGATGCCAACACCCTGGAACTGCGCTTGAACTTGTTTTGATTGCGCATGTGATGCCATCCAATCATATCGTAAACCCATGTAAACCCAATGCCATAAACGAAGCTGCTTATTATCAACCAACCATAAAAAATAGTGTCATGACCTACATCATCCCATTTCTAGACTCGGTGATCAACCTGAATGCCTAGAAAGTTGGTGTCTGAAACCTCGGAGAAACACACAAATTCGGGATAAACATTATTAATAATATTCATAAACCCTAATAAACAGAATCAGCCAATTGAATTCCTGTAAGGGATACACATGATTATAGTTTAATATATTTATTATCATGTAGCCTGCGCACTTTTGGGCTTCATCCTATCACTGGCGATACATGGCTACAAGGTGGTGCCCCAGTGAGCTAAATCGCGAACTTGGTGCAAATAAGTCCAATTTCACTAGGGTTGATGAATGGGGGTTATATTACTATAGTTACTATAGTTACTATGGGGATTATAAACCAACGTTCCATCACTGGGGGGTACCACCTTGTAGGTATCCCCTAAACAACCATCTGTGATGTAGAGAATCTCCATTCCAATGTTGAATCAACTTAAGTTATATCAGGTTCTCTGAGACAAAGACGCTTGTCAATGGGGATCATCCTCCCGTTTCTTGGGTAGATCATAGTATATCTATGTTGATCATCAGAGTTTTATGGTGATGTTAGCTACATAGTAGTCAACCCCATCGTTACCTGGTGTTATAATTTATAGATAATTTTCAAACATAAAACCACTGGGTCTTATGAACACGTCCCATTACCGTGTTTGATTAACCGAGGATACTTGGAACCAAAAAAAACGTCTTCGTTTTGAGTCCCCTCCAAAGGTCTTCCCATCGTCACAACAATTCCCTCTGCTTTCAGCTGTGTTTCAGCCCGGTCTTGGCATCCAAGACATATGCAGGCCTGCGAGGCCAACATGTAATCTGAAATTATACCACATCTTTGATGTCCATTGCTAGTATGTGGTTAGGAAACTCTTGGTAGCTCCATAGCTCGCTCCCTATTTAATAGGGTATTTCTGAATACCCATAGCTCATCATAGCTCCTTAGCTCCCTCCATTCACCACTGGATAGAGTGAACCTGCTCTGACTTTTGAGGCATCAATGTTAGGATCCAACATCCCAAGTCAGATGATTCCCCGAAAAAAACCAGCGGGTTTTTGTTGAGGGCTCACCTAACACGACCAGGGTGACTGGTAACACAAACTCGTTTTGGGTGACTGGTAGAATCCGCATTTTTACATACCGGAAACCATGTTTGGGCAAAAAAAAACATAACATGTATAGCTGGTTGGTGGTATACCCACCCCACTGAAAAATGATGGAGTTCGTCAGATTGGATCACCATCCCAACTATTGGGGAAAATAAAATTCATGTTCCAAACCACCAACCAGATAGAGTAGTTTATGGACATCTATAGTTCAACATGATCAACATGCTTCCGGATTTGGGTGTGCTGAAATGTTCAGAGAAACTCATGACGGAAGATTCAAAATTGGTGCTGCAATTGTCCGGTTTATGAGTTGAACATTTATTGTACTCAAACTTTGCCATGGAAACCATGGGAAATACTGATGACCAGGAGCAAGGATTCTTTGAGCAATTTTGTTTCGCAATTGTGCACTTCAGATGTCTACTTTGACAACACAAGAGACTTGCAGTTAAGTCCCATGATCGGACCTTTATTGTTCCACACGTACCCTCCGTACCCATCTTGCACTAGCACACACAGGTACATACATGTGTGTATGTGTGTCTCACTGTATCTCTATTACACAGGTTTGATCTATCTGTGTGTCATTTGAACATACCCCAACAATACTCCCCTTCCACTGCCTAGTTTACGAGGACACTGGTGATCCTACAAGTCTTGAAAAACAAGGCGTTTCAGTCCATAGAAATGCAATGACTGATGCCAAAAATAATAGTAACATTAACATACATTAACTATATTCAAGTGTGGATTAATAACAACAGCTGATGACATTAACTAAATTCTGTAAATCAACATAGCTATTGAAACAATTCTGGGTCGCGTCCGTACGCTCACTGCTTGCTTCCCATGGCAGAATCAAGGGTGATCAAAATGGCCCATAGAAATAGTTGATTTTCCTATTAATAGCATGGTGATTTTTCCAGTTCGCTATGTTAGTTTACCAGGCCGGGTATATCTCCATTAAATCCCCATTCAAGTCTATTAAATCACCACTGAATTCCATTATATCAGCATTAAATCATGGTAGTTACCCATTTAAAAATATTTCAAATGGTGATGTTCCATAGTTTTTTTGAATGTTTACTAGAGGTAAGAACCCATTTATAGTTGATTTACCTATTAATAGCATGGTGATTTTCTAGTTCGCTATGTTACTTTACCATAATCCAACAGGGGTAGTTACCCATAAATAGCATGGTGATTTTCCATAGCTTTTTGTAGGTTGATCATAATCCAAGTTGATTTACCTATTAAATATTGAAAAAAGCTCATTTATAGATCATTTACTGTACCTATATATTATAAAAAGAAAATATGATTTCCATACTTATGTCAGTTTATCAGAGGGTAAATCTAAGAATGGTGGTTTCTTTGAAGATCTCTGGATTTCTTTGGTATGTTCAGAGATCAAATAAGACATGGAGATATCATCCATGGGGGGGTACAAACGTATCATGTCCATTCGTCAACCACCAGTCGCGCAGTCACGCAGTGCCTGGAGATGCTGTCGTCGGCCACGTTCTGCGGCAGCTGCGAACTCTGCATCAAGCGCAGCCTGGGCGAGGTGAGTTGTTGACCAATTCGAACCACCAACAACTACCCTCTGGTAAACATACAAAAAACTATGGAAAATCACAATTTTTAAAGGGTAAATCAACTAGCAATGGCCATGTTCAATATCTATGTTAAATTACCAGAGGGTACCAACTACACGAATTGTCAAAATTATTTGGTGGTTCTGCTGATTCTAATTTGCCAATAATATTTCTCTAAATAGACATGCAAATTCCAAGAATAGCTTGGGAGAGGATCGTTCGCAACTACTTGGATGTGCAGCCAGTAAGTGGTGAATCATGAATTTCCAATGAAAAACCAGCCGTAACTGCGGGAAGTATCCCACATTCAACTGGGTTGTTTATTAAAAAGCGCTTGTACTGGATGATATATCTGGCATAAAGAAAATCCCACGGAGCCTCGACATCCTGAGTTCGTGATGTAAAAATCAAGCCAGAAATGACAGATAATGGTTTGAATACATATGCTATGTATATGAAATATATGTATAATATATGCATCGCTTATATATGCTTATCATATACATATGATATGTCCCCGGGTGAAGTTACGGCACTTCCTGTTCGGCAGCGGGGATCATTGGGTGCCCGACCAGTCTTTGGGGTGCCACATCATGTGAGTCGCCTCAGAAATGTGGATTTTAGGGAATAAATTAGGGGAAAATCGGGAATTATAATAGGGGATGTTTCGGCTACATTCACAATCACTACTGACGGCTGTGTCTGAATAATGGGGGACTTGCGTCAATTACTATGGCCATTCAAATGAGAATAGCCGTAGCCTATGTGCCAAAATGGTGAATATAATCTGGTTGGTGCTTTCAATCCCTCTGAAAAATATGCTCGTCAGTTGGGATGATGACATTCCCAATATATGGAAAAATAAAATTCATGTTCCAAACCACCAACCAGTCATAATATTCATGGAACATATTATGAAAATGATTAAGGAGATTTGGGGACAAGGCTAGATGTTTGGCTGACAGGAGATTGACAAACACTTACGCTGCTACTTTTGGTGTTTTTTCTGTACCAAATCATCCATTGCAATTACCCCCCTAAGTCACTAAAACGTAGGCACACATATTTTACATGGAACTTCTCTGTCTCACATATATAAATATGATATTGTGTTTATATAATTATCATATATATATATATTAATACACATGTAGAAAGTCAAAAAACACTTAGTGAAACCCATCTTGTCTGAGTCTGGTTTCTATAGCAACACTTCTTGAGCGTCGTTGCACGTAGCTGGGCTGACTACATCCTGGTACCGCATACAAGCAGAATCAATTTCAGCGAAGATTGAACTTGAATTCCAAGTTGAATGGTTTCGGACTTTGGATCACTTTGGCTTCAACTAACCGTAAGTCTACCATTTTGACAAATCATATGAATGTTTACAATATTGACATATCAATCCATATTGTTCATATTGTCCAACTGATGGTAAACAAAAGTCAACTATATTGTATTTAGCTTGTGAATTTCATAGTTAGTTGACTTTTGTTTACCATCTTGCCCGTGACCGAATTTGAGGTTATACCATGTTATACCCGCCCCTTCCCTCCTGGCCCCCCGCTGTCTGCGACCAGCTGTAAGCACCTACCAGTACCAAGAAAGATAAGAAAGCAGGTTCCTCTTTTGGGCTTAGAAGAGACAACATCTGAAAAAAATGTGGATTTAAGTATATCGTAGTATATCTCATCAAATCTCATCAAAAGCCATGAACAATCTCATCAAAACCCAATGGGGGTCCAAATCATGGGCTTCAACCAACCAACATTTATGATGACAAACTTGATCTTGTCAAACAACTTGGTAGTTGAAGGCCATTCGACTTTGAGATATACACACACGCTCACTCACCAATGGGAGCAAGGGCGGCCTTGCTAACTAAACGGCCGTCACTGGTGTTGGTTAAGGATACCAAGGTCCAATGGTGGAATCCAATGTCGATGACACAAAAACAAATCACAAACAGAAGTGGGAACTTGAAATACAAACTGCTATCATCCAGAAAATCCCACAGGAACCTCGAACACTATGGTTTGCGGAGAATGATAGACCACTCCGGTCAATCTTGCGGGTATTCCTATTCACGCAAAGGCACATCCACATCATCGAACATTGGCAGAGATAATAAGATATAAGAGATAGAAAACATGAATCAGCATCTGATTACCATTTATTTTGCAACCTTATCACCCGCAACATTTGTTACAACCCTATGTTTCTCAACCACCCTCACCACACCTGGTCATCATTGGTGATTGCTTGATCCACCCTAGTGGTATACATGGTCGTTACCCATCGAATTCCATTCGCAAAAATGACAACCACAACATAATAACAGAAACAACACACACATATCAAAAAAAAATGAGAGTATAGCTGCAAACAAGAATCCATGCGTACATATGTACCGTATATACATGTCTGATGCCATTCTAAGGCCTTGTTAAAAATGGTAACTTTTTTGCACGCTCCTTGCCTGGCGACAGGCTCGTGCTTGCAAAGTTCCCGGCATAGACCTGACGCGAAAACATCCATAGAGAAAAACATGTTGCATAGTAAAAAGAACGCAACATCATTATATTTAGTATCGATACCAACTAACCCCTATCTTGCGACAAAGCCAAATATAGTTTTGCAATGCTACATATGTGTATGTATACATATATATATTATATGTGTACATACATTATGTCGAAAATCTATAAGTATCTATAGGTCATTTACACACACAAAAAAAAGAAACATATACACATGATTCATGATATTCTCTGGCAAATTATAATGCCATAATTCCAAAAACAAATCATGCGCAAATGGAGGAGGCGGCCAGGGCGGTAGATCATCATCCGAAACAGTGGGGAAACACCAAGGAAATGATATAAACAATGAGGGGAACATGATATTTTCATGAAAAAGTGGGAACAAATGAATAACATACCCATATGACATATGCGAACCATGGTGCTGGTATATTTACCTAGATGACTGGGTGATGAATTGTTTGGGTTTCTATGTTGGTGTGCATATTCCAGCACCATGGTGAGCATTTGGGATATGAAAACACCTGTTGGCTCTCAGAAAGCGTTGACAATCAATGACAAAATGGTGGCTGCACAGGTAAAAAACAATTTCAAACTTATTTAGTGTGGTAAACCTGACAAACCATCCCACATCAAACAAATGACAAACTGATCCCCATCCCCATACGCAAAAAAGGGCCTAAAGATGGCAAGGGGAGATTCCACCAATGTTCATGTTGAAAATTTATGATATATGATGATCAACCCGGAAAAAAAATCAATCCTTGGACCTTGGGATATCATATTTTCCGACAAAACCACATTTAGTCCTGCAAAAAAAAATATCACTTTGTTTAACATCACCTGGAATTCTGGTGAAATTTGATCAAACGTGCCCGTGCCCCTGAAATGCTGCAGTCTTTTGTCCACCTCCAAAACTGGCATTTGGATTCGACCCAACAAATGAAAACAGGGACTTTGATATCCCGACCTTATCTGGTTGATGGTTTTAACCATCTTGAAAAATATGAAAGTCAATGGGAAGGATGACATCCCAGATATGAAATGGAAAATAAACAATGTTTGAAACCACCAACTTATAAACCAACTTATAACTAGGGGATACCACCTTGTACCTTATCCTAAATAGCTTGAATGTTTTCTTTAGATACGCATCTTCTCAGATCCCAGGCCGGGCGCACCCCAGGATTTTCGCTGGCAATGTGGCGACGGTTGTCACCCTCAGCCTCAAGGCACCACTGGGAAAAGTGCACCACCGTTGTCACATGGGGTTTCCTAAGTCACAAGGGGGGCAAAATCATCCAAAAATTGTTATTTAGTTTATGGCAAAACTAGAAAAATAATTGCGAGGCGCAGCCTTTCAGCAATACCCATATATTTTGTTTATATAGTTAATCTTGGATACCCTGCAAAGAGGCATGTGTCTTTTTGTTCAAGCCTTTCATCAAATTTTAATCGTCCGTCCTTCTCATCGGTACCTGAATCACCGGCCTGTGATTCTTTTGACGAAAACAGAAACAACCACGAGCCATGGTGCTTCCAGTTGATTACGCGGTTCCCAGGAATACTGGCCCTCTGGAAATAGCTGAGTAGCAGAAGCACCTTCAACACCTACCGTCCGATTGTGCCCAAGGATCATCTGTATGCGACATTGTTTGACGCTTACCCTCTGGTAATTTAACATAGCTATGGAAAATCACAATTTTTAATGGGTAAATCCACTATAAATGGTCATTTTCAATAGCTATGTTAGTTTACCAGAGGGTAAATCAAATGGCTGGTAAACCAACTATGAAAACCATGGGGACCATGCAGGTGTGCATCTTGCAGGCAAAGATGCAAAGATGCAGACCTGCATAGCACTGTAGATAGTTGACTTGGACACCTTCTAAGAACAATCTATATAGTGTTGAAAACAATAAACAAAGAAACACATCCAAACCCAATAATCAAACATAGCAATTGAAAATCCACAGACTAAAAGTGGAGAGCTTAATGGGAAAATCAAGGATAAGTGGTAGATGTTCCATTGCCATGTTTGATTACCGGAGGGTAATTCATACCATCTCAATTTATCGCATGTGTATCTGGTGATATTCCCACTTTTGCTGTAAGGATTCATTGTTTGTGCTGGGATACTTACGAAACTACAAGTTGTTCTAATTTGTCCAGACACTGTACTTGGTGGTTCATCCCACTTAGTAAGTGGGTTATAACCCCAGTTATAAGTGGATTATACGTATCCCATTTATAACTGGGGTTATAACCCACTTACGAGCCGTGGGATGAGCCACCAAGTATTTGTGTTTCTGAATCCCGCTGAGAAATCCTCCCATTCTTGTTGGTTACGTCTCCACATCATTGATGCTTACAGTTATATGAATCCCAGCCGTAAATCCCATATCATATACTGATCTGGGTAAATTATAATATTTCACTATCCTGAATTAAGGCCATATTGGGATGATTCCCCTTACTAACTATGATTCTAGTGAGGTCGCAGTGAGGTCGTTATAATTTACCCAGATCTATGCTGGTTTGATCGTTTCAGGACCACCAACCAACTGAGTTCTTGGACCCACCAGCCGTGCATGGTCTTGATCTTCAGCAGCCGATCCACCTGGATACCGGTGATACTGGGGATTTTGCCACCAAAGGTAGGTATGTAATATGATTTAACCAACATATATATATATAATATATGGGGGTTTCCATAGTCATGGGGGTATCCAAAAATGGTTGGTTTATTTCATGGAAAATCCCAATCTAAAATGGATGATTTGGGGGTACCCCTATTTCAGGAAACCACCATATATATCGTAGGGTATAGGGTATAGGAAGGTTAAGGCAAGGGTAAAAAAAAGTAAATCCGAATACTTCACTGTGTAGTGGGATTTGCAACTTGCACAATCGACAATCTGATGTTGGGCTTGTATCAAACTGGACGCATACCCCAAAATGACCACTAAGCACTGAAAAAAAAACCTATATTATTAAACATGAGATGTTGGGGTACCAAATCTTCACGCAATCCCATTTCCCATAATGATATCCAACACTGCCCTCTGGTAAGCAAACGTGGCTGGACAACAACCTCTTTGTAGTGGGAAATAAAAACCAAGCAGACACAATAGTGAAATAGTAAATGTTTCTTTTTTGTTTATCTTTTTTTCTGCGGTACTATCCACGGACAGGAAGATTACCAGCGAATAGTGGACATAATCAGCCTAGAAAGTGACACAATGTTTATCGAGTAACACGTAAACATGGCTTTGTAACATGTTATCTAGTTATGGCAAATAAAACCTATCAGAGGCAATCTGATAGCCAATGGCACAATGATACAACATGTGTTTTTTCCTCCTGGTGGTGGTTTTGTTTCCGCCCAGCCAATTGGGATATGACCAGGCAACATCTACAATGTGTCCACTGGAAGGTCTAACCATACTGGTATTTAGTATGAAATGTCAACTGGGCATGAAACCAGGACTAGGAAACGACTAACAACAGGGAGAGTACAAAACGAACGGTTTCACAATACACAACATTGCAATAGTTAGAGAAACATATGCTAATACTGGAATATCTGCAATAATCATTGTGGAACTTGGCATGGATCAAGTGGGAATGTTCTCTACCCGGGTGTCAAGCAAAGGTCGTAACAAGGGTACAATGGCGACCGACTGTGATGATGAAACACATATTTACTTAGGGTAACACCACCAACCAGTATGTGTTTTGTTCGACAGAACGAGCATCAAAGGAGCAACGTCAAGACACATAATTATGTATATAGGATTGTGTACAGTACATACATATACATCTGTACAGTACACGTTACACAAATACAGAATGAATAACGGTGATATATCATCTACACTCTGGCAATACATGCTGTCAACTGTAACAGCACATAAGTGATATGTTTGGAATATGTTCACAAGTATATACAGATCAACTATAACCTTCCTACCCATAACGGGAAATACTATTCAACGTACAGTACTACTAACAAATATATAAACATCACTATAACGTTGCACAATTATTGTACTATTGTAGCCATAATGGTTGGGAAAAATAAAAACTCTATCTATAGATCAAAACTATAACCACTACTAACCACGATTAATGTACTATTCTGGGTAGATTATAATTCACTAACCTGAAAAGGTCAGCCAGTATCGGGATAGTTTCCCATGACGGACCATCATCTATGGTGAGGTCGCGACGTGGGGTTGTTGTAATTTACCCAGACTATATATTGCGCTATTAGATGATGATGGTGATGATGATGATGATGATGATGGTGCTGGTGCTGATGATCGCGTCGAACTCTTCCAGGGAGGCAAAACCGGGAGTTGATCGCACTAAACTACTACCGTACTATTACTGTAGAGCACTACTCTAGATCAAAGATGATCAAAGAAATCCCGAAAATTCTGAGCTAACACGCCCTATGCGCACCTCATAGAGACCTGTGAAGCCAAAGACCTTCAGGATGGTGTCGACCTGCGGTTAAACCATACTTCGACTGGTGATGCAACCGACCAAGTGATGTGGACTTTGTTGGCTCGGCTGGTGTATGACTAGATTAACTAGGGTTTATGGTGATATAACGTGATATATATATAGTTATATATATATAGGTATAAATATATATATATATACATATATATATATATATAAAGGAATTATATAGGTCATATGTTATGGAGATATATGATATAAGTTGATCTAACCATACTTCGATAGGCTGAGAGATCAACTTATTAAAAAAAAAAACATCAACATTGCCATCAGGAGGTTTATCTTATATATGGATACCACTGATATAATGAAAACATGAGAACTTTTGGAAACAGCTGCGTCTACGTCCCAAGAGATCCCGTATGACGATTCTTGGATTCATTGGGACGATTCAATGCCAATGTCAGTACAGTAACTGGATAGCATGGTTTTCTTTGCCTGGTATTCCATTAATCAGTTGAAATCAATTAAACACATGTGGCTATGGATCAATACCTATGAAAATACCAGCTATTTAGTGGGTTATTCACATCCATTTTAACCCAGCTATTTTGATGTGAACTACAGGGGTTTCCAATGGTTTTGACACACTGCCATGTTGTTATTTCCATGAGCCACTGCCCGCGGCCATGGTTCCCCAGTCCAAGGTGTTGCCGAGTTGCGATGAATCACCATGTTGCTTCAACTATTTAGGCAATTCACATGTTTTTCTAGTTGATGAACCATCAATTAATCGCTAAAGTGTTCATTGATTAACCATGTTTTTTCACGTTCAACCATTAATTTAAAATAGCTATTGGGCATTTAGCTAAAGTGATTTAATGGTTTATTTAGCGATGTAGGTGCTAAATCCTCATGTAAATCATGAAAACAGTTGCAACTAACTCCAAGTTTGTACCACTTCTGACGTAGCTTTTCAAACTTGGATCAAAGCATTGGTGGAGATGTTGATATCCCATTTTGCTGAATTCTGATATGTTATGATATGTTAATGAATATAATTGCTATACATACCATGTGAACGCATGATGATATCCCATTGATGTGGGTAAATTGCAATATTCACTCACCTGAAAACCTCGACTAATATTGGGCTAATTCATCCAAGCCTAACCATAATTCCAGTGAGGTCACTATAACTATAAGTCACTATCATTTACCCAGATATATATATATATAATATAATATATATATATTGAACATATAATAAACAATATTATTTTTTGGTGATGAATTCCCCTATCTTTTCACACATAGGAAGCCCTCGCGGCATCGAACGACCTTCAGGTCTCGACCGGACTCCAGGTGAACCTTCCCTGGCGACAATCGCTTCACCTTGGAATGGAAGCCACGGGGAAACCCCAACAGCTGGAGGGTTTCAAAGACATTCTGAACATCAAGCGGATGATCACTAGGGGTAGCCCGGATGAAATGCCCTATTTTGTTTTAGGCAACCTCCAAATATAGAGGATTGATATGGCAACCTCTTCGAAATGGCAAGCCCTAGGAAATATATATATATGTATCATATAATGATAATAATAATGATAAGAATAATAATAAATCATAATTAGCTAACTATCAAAAACATAGACTTTATTTGAATAACGCACATGTTGAACTTGTTTTGTTTTCCCACAGCATGGAAGAACGGGAGTTGAAGCATCAAGCGTGGAAAAGTATTGGCTGGTTAGTCGATGTGTTTACCCTGAAGATGGTAAAACAATCAACCCAAAAGCCATCATCCTAGCAAGGCTGACCCATGTACAACGGATCAGTGAGAGAGTATGGCAGGGTATAACCTTAGCGACTGCACGTGTATGGATCCAATTGGCTACATAACATTATGTAACTACATCACTTGCGACAAAAAACTGTCCAGTCCAGAATAGAACCAAAAGATTCCAAAAGGATCCGAAAGAAATATTTTAATTGGGTAGTAGCTCAAAGGCAATTAAAGGTCTACAAACTTGGGCGTGTCAGCACAATTCACTTCAATTCTAGCATATTCTGGCCACAAGCTGTGAACATATGGCGGCATCAGCAACATCTAAACTTGCCTTTGAAAGACTTCAACTACGCATCCATCGTCTTGAATATCTTACAACATGTTAGAATTTCTACTAGCCAAGCAGTTTCTCTCAAAATACTCACAGTATCCAAAAGTTTTCCCGATTACAGGCACTTAGTATATATATATATATGTGTTTAAACATGAAATGATTGCGTTCCTCCAATTCTGATCAAAATTTGGTTCGGAACTTCTCTGTTCAACCCACCCATCGGATCCCACCCAGTCCATAACGCGGACCGCGTCACATCATCCACAACGACTTCGCACTTCCCCATGCTCAACGCCAGGAAATAAACATCGCCAATCCCAAAGCGGGACTCAGAAATCGGCGCAAAGGATTCAAAGGTGGTGCAAAGTTTGCATCTCAACTACCCTCTGGTAATTTAACATAGCTATTGAACATGGCCATTTATAGTGAGTTTTCCCATTAAAAATGGTGATTTTCCATAGTTATGTTAGTTTACCAGAGGGTAAGTGGCAAAAATCATCCTGTAGATTTTCATGGTGAAATATATTGTGATCTATGATATATGATTGGTTCTCCTAACGTTGTGAAAACCACTTACTGACTGGGATGCGCATCCAAGTTCCGAAACGAATCTCACCCACATTTGGTGGCTCACAATTCACTTGTCACAAGGCCTTAGAAATAGATTCAAAATGATTCAAACAAGAGCAGTGGGCTACAATCAGCATCCCCCCTTTCGTTTTTCTGTATGAGTTGCTTGAAAAACCCACCTAACTGATATCCACAGATATAGAGATATCACCATAAACATCCATGAACCTTAATTGCCCTAGATGGGAAGCCAACTTATCCAGGGCTGCCTTCTTGTAGACCAACCTGTGGCCTGGGATTAGGTCAGCTATCACCAAAACCAGTCCTGGCCATGTCTTTAAACATCATCTAAAACATGTCCGCACACATTATCCTCTGGTAATTTAACATATCTATAGAAAATCACCAGTTTTAATAGGTAAACCATCTATAAATGGGCCATGTTCCATAGCTATGTTAGTTTACCAGAGGGTATTTTATGTTTTTTTTCTCACACAGCTTGTCATTTGTTTACACATTGCTATTCTAAAATACATAACAAAAAAACATGTTTGTTGCTGGGTAGTATATCTGTCCCCACTTACATTGTGAAACCAAAATCAACTCGACGGCTACCCTGCACCCACTTGGCTTACAGCTTGAGACTCAAATTTGATGTTTAGCTAGGGAAAAAAACACACAAAAAAAACACCATTCTGGCTACCTAAATCTTGAAGCCTTCACTTGGACCACGTCCAAAAAAAACCATGCCATTACAATGAGATACCCTCTGGTTATGTCAAAATAGCTATTGAAAATTGCCATAGAAATAGTGAGTTTTCCCATTAAAAATGGTGGATCTTTCCATAGTTATGTTAGTTTACCAGAGGGTAATTGATGATAATTGGTATAGCTAGATGACTAGATAGTAGATATCTAATTATAATATAGATAACTTAGATAACTATAGACTATAATTTGTATAACCATATATAGTATATCCATATTTAGTATAACCAATATACCAACTTATTGTACTTAGTGTGTTACCACACAATAATGGATTCATAGTTAGATAGTATAGTGGTTAGATAATTATGTTCTCAACCAACTCATCAAATTCGTGTAACGGTTGGGGTATATGGTAGTTACGAACGAGTTCTTCTTTTGGTTTATCGACCAACATCCACCTGGGACACATGTTCGCCAAGAAACCTTCTGGTTGATGTGCGCTGAGGTTCTTTGTGCATTGGCCATCACCGAGTGGTATTCCCTGGAGCTGGCAGTCATGGACGGTGGGGATTCCAGGATGTCAAAGATTGTCAAACCACTGGAGCACCAACTTTTCACCCTCTGGCAATCGAACCTAGCCATGGAAAACATGGGAAAACCGTGAGAACTGCATGTTGAATAAGTAATCATATCTACACATGGGCCACGTTTATCCATATTGCACAGCTGCTGTAGCTATGCTAGACTGCCACAACATAAAGCCACCAACCATTACCAACCAAATCAAGGTCAACCCGGACAGCGCCGCTTGATGTTTCACCACCCCACACAGCTTGGGCTCCCACCAGGGATCGAAGCCAATCAACCTGTCATGAGTCACTCGCCGTGGCTTTGTTTCATCCTTACCCTGACCCCAGCACAAGAGTACAAACCATGGATGGCACCTCGAGAAATTCACCTTGCCAATATGCCAATGTAATTCGCTGTCTTAGGACTTGACGAAGAACTATCTGATTGGTTCTGCTCTCGCAAACCTTGTGAAGGACCATTCTCATGTCAGCGAAAAACTGCTGCTGTTTGCACTGCCACAATACTCACGCCCTCAGTCTGCGAGTCATAGCCCGATGGTGGTTTTAACACATCCCCCAAAAAATGTTTCAATATTGATCATTGTCCCAAATGGAAAACCCACAAATTGAAACCACCCAGCAAATTTCGATCGTGCCAGAAGGACTGATAAGCCGGCACCATGCTTTCCATAAAAAGAGCTCCTGGCCAAACGAATGATACGTTTCAGGCAAAAGTTGCGGTAAATGAGGTAAAATAACCACTGTTCTCCCCCCGAAAGTGGCTATCATTTACCTACAATAGGTTGGAACAATCCTGATATATGTACAGTAAACATCTGTAAATTTCCAGAACACATTCTTCAATTGGTACCGAACTAATGCCTAGCATGAGGTTCTGACCATCCGTTCAATCTGTACAGAAATGATCCACCAGTCACCATGGCAACTAACAGAAGTGGAATAATAATAACCATCATAGTCGTCATCATCATCATCATCATCATCATCATCTGAACCGCAGTCTTTCGGCCTGAAATAGGCGGATTGGACTGATTCGCAAGCCTCGGCACCGCACTTTATCAGCACCCCGCCCTTTGCCCACACTGGCATCTGCCCCCTGCGGCAAATGCAACATCTGTAACTGGGTACAAGAGACATCCATAAACATCGCCATAACAATCCATCACTTTGACTCAACATTAGATGTCAAGATGTACTTAAGGTTCACCTAGGAAATATCACCATGTTTTATGTTGGATTTATGTTGATTTATCAGACCTCCATCTTTCAGCAACACTTCAAAGACTGAGCTGAAGGGCCAGGAACAAACTCGTGGACACGCCAAGTTTTTCCTGGTGCAAGCAGTGATTGAGCTGGTGCCCCATGAGTAGGTCTCTTGGGGTTGATTTCAGAGAGGGTTGTAAATCAAGTTATAATTGGGGGGCATTTTGTTTGATTTTTTTTATTTTTTGTGGTCGATTGCCATTTCCATGAAAATTCTAATTTTGGGGTCTGCCCATGGCCCCATTTTTAGACAAGCCCATGTACCCTCATGCATCTTTTTTTTACACAGGGGCTTGAAACAATCACCTGTCTCAACTCTTCTGCCAGTCGATGCTCTCGTTTTTTCATCCCAGGTATGGACCGGTTGTTTGCTCAGTGGGGGACTGGTCAAGCACACCCGAAGTTGACCCAGTACGCGACATTGCTGTCCCTGTCCTTCTGCAAACTAAATAGATCTTCTTCGTTGAAAATTCACAGCAGGTGCGTATCTCAGCGAGTCTGGAGAAAGAGAGTGGCAGGCTGTGGGAGTGCGGTGTTTCATAAGTTTTGATACCAAACCCGGTTCTTTCCAAAACCAAACATTGTTGCTTCATGTTGCTTCTGTAACAAAAGAAACCACTGTGCATTCTCAACAGCTCTCCCAATGTCCTACATAGATACATAGTTTCAGCCAAAACAAACATGACTAATACATAAAAACAGCAAAACAAACAAGTGCAAATGCCTTTCCAAAGAGTGCAGCATCGCTTTAAGAATGTATAGACTCTACATCTCTACAGGAGTTTCCCTCAACATATGCAATAATCTTTTTGGGCATGTGCATTCTAAGCAGGGACCAACTTATGCAATATGTTCTCTGTAAACAATGAATGAAAAATAAATTTGCAAACTGCACTTGTAAAATGATATTGCCTAAAGAATACCATTCCTCAATGTGAAAACCCTTTCCAAAAAGTGTGGCATTGTTTGAAAATAAGTAGCATTTAAAAAATGCGCATTTAAAACAGGCACCAATTTATGCAATATGTTCTCTATAAATAATAACGGTAACCAAACATGCAAAGATCACTTGTAAAATGACTTTGCATAAAGAACACCATTCCTCCATGTATGCCACAACCTTTTGCAAACATTGTTGCATTCTTTGAAAGATGTGTAGCATTACTTCCCAATTTCAAGGAGAACCCTCCTATGTATGTACTGAATGCTGTCAGAAATCATAGCATTCATGTAGGAAAATGTAGCATGCTGTTTTGAAAGATTGAATCTATTCTTGAATTACTGCAGCATGGTTTTGGAAAGAGTGCCACCTTACTGACACATTCATTGAAACATGTGTTTTACCTTTGAAAGTGCAGATTCTTGTTTGCAAAGTGTGCAGCATTATTGCAAGGAAGTGTAGCAAGATCCTACTGTAGATTCCATTGATGATGCAAAAGCCTGTTTAAAAATACGCGTTGTTTGTTGCAAAGCAAGTATTGCGCCAACTTCTGCAAGTAATGCATTTCCAAAGAGTGCAGCATATCATATCTTTGTAAACAAAGTAGAATATGGCTTCAAACAATGCAAAACACATTGTAAATATAGATCATAAATCCTAATGCAAACTTATTCAAATATAATTATGGCAATGTAGACAAGTGCTACATGCCTATGCAAAGAGTGCAGTCAAAAAAATGTCATATTATTGCAAACTGTGCAAAATCTGTGTCACACACTGTATGTGTATATATATATATATGATTATATGTGTGTGTATGTATATATGTATATCTACCTTTAAAAGTGAATAGTTTCTTGGCAAATCTGTGTAGCATCCCTCCAAGAAAGTGTAACATGAGTCTACAGCAGATTCCATCGATGATGCAATGATGCTTGAGAAGATGGTCGTATTACTTCATCAAAGTGTGCTACCAAAGTATGCAACATGTTTTCAAAAAGTATAGCATAAAACTAAGCTTATTATCTAGGACATTGCCAAAAATTTCAAAATTGGAACACACAGTCTTGATCCTCAGACCCAGTATGTTCATAGCTGCAGTGGTTAAACGATTGGTTCCTGCAAGCTTGAACACATGAAGACACCGAACGGCCAGTGTACAAAAAGGTGCAAATGGCTGAAAGTGACCAAAACCAAAAAAGAACTTGGAAAACAAAAAAAACATAAAAAACAAATCATAGAGTCTTGGCTGGGACCCCCCCCCTTCCAAAGAGTCTAGACATATTGTTTTTTGTATTTTTTTTGTTTTTCCAAGGTTTTTGCCTCTTTTCAGAGAGTCTTGGCTGGGACCCCCCCTTCCAAAGAGTCTAGAAATTGCTTTTGTTTTTCCTGTTTTTTGTTTTGTTTTTTTCTTTGTGTTTCCAAGGTTTTTAACAAGTGTGGGGTACTTCAAGGAAACTGGCATGAATCACAGGCAAAGCTGTCAAAGTGCCTTTGGGAGTGCAGTAAAACATCAGTAAAAGATCTCAAAATCTTATCTTAAATCATGGGGAAACTGCACTCCCAGGTGAGTATCTCAGCGATGAACTACGGGGTTTTCCTGCAATGATGGGTATATTCGTATGAACATTGGTGCAGGACCCACTTACTTTAACTTTTATGACCTGTAACTTTGACCTCGGGACCTTCCATTGAAATCCATTTCACCTTAAAAAAAGTGGTTACTTCAAGGCCTGGATCTGGTTTGCTACTTGCTCTACACGTGTGTGCGTATCAACCAGTGCCACCGAACAGGTCATAACAGGTCTATCCTCTCGTAACCAAACATGGGTTGCTGGAAAATGTTTGATGGGATTTCCCATCCAGCCATGCTGGGCGGGTGCAAGCGCATCACCACTGGGCTTCCAACGTTTTCCACACCAAAGGCACCATGTCCGGCGATCATGACCGTCTTGCCACGTGCCACCTTCCCACTTCATCCCAGGACTGGCAGGTATCACGAAAAGAATGCAATAGAAATAAATATATGGAAGTTTTGTAAAATGGGATACCCCCAAAACCACAGGCTTCAATAGTAAAATGGTCTAATGTTGGATGATAACCGGGGGTACCCCCATGACTTAGGAAACCTCCATGACTGGCTATGGGTCTCTTAGCCCTGGTAGTGAACCCCAAAATAGCTGGTAAATTGATGTTCATCTCACTCAAAAATTATACTACTAGTAAAAGGTGTTGATACCCACCCCATATAATAAACAGATAAATTAGATCATCCCTGCGCCCCAATATGAAATACACTGGACAAGTATCAGATCTATTCATGTTTGGGGGTCAATGTGATTCAATTTCGGGGTATTTCATATCATGGGGATAATATTGATTGGGGATATCAGATATTCCATATAGAAATGGCTTATATAAATACGACAAATATATATTATATGCACATCCATGAATAGATCACACACCAGAGTTCCCAATGATTTTTTTGCAAGGGTAGTGAAAGGATGTGGATGTGTTAAAGGTATAACGGTATAATCGACTAATTAATCCATTTAGACATCAACATGACATCCAACAGCCATTTGGAAGTCATAAGTATTCAAAATCCCCCACAGATCAAGACACGGGATACTGACCCTTTTTCCATCTAAAGCAGCACGAATGCCGTCTTAGCAGAAAGCTTTGCAGCAGCTCCAACCAGAAATAATCGGACAAATGGTTGGAACTGGGAAACCTACCACATATTTCTGGTGGGGTTCCAGGTATGAATCATGTTTCAATTGTTTCATGTTCCGCAAACTATGGAGCTGTAGCTCGCGTGCCAATAGGGTCAGGCTCAAGCTGTGCATTCTCTTTCTCGCTCATGGTGTCGATGTCGTAACTTCTCCGGTTGGGAGCTGGATTCACTGAGAATGGACGAGGTGAAAGCGTCACTTCCAGACGCATTTCTCAGTGTCTGATCAGAAGTTTCGGACATTTGTTGTCAGCATAACCTGGTTGGTGGTTGAGCCTATCCCTCTGAAAAATATGTTCGTCAGTTGGGATGATGACATTCCCAATATATGGAAAGTCAGTCAAAATTCCATGGTTCCAAACCACCAACCAGTACCAGTCCAACATTTTTGTTCAACAACCGGATGCCACCGCAGCTACCATGGAAAAAAAAATCCTTGCTCCATGGGATCCAACTCCAGTTAGTCCCGGTGCTGCTGTCCACCGTCAAATTCTCTCGCCGTTGGTGTGGGCAACGGCTTCGTTCGGAAATTGCAAGGCAAAATCGTTCGGAGTTCGTTGCAGTCACCGTCTTTCATTGGATGGAACTTCAAATCGAGGGCAGCCAGAGGTGGATAGGAACTAAGCAGTTTTGTCGAATGTTTGGTTCTTACTTGCCTTAGTAAGAACAAAACACTCGACAAAGCTAGCTAGAGAATTTCACAGCGCAAAAGTTTTGTCGAATGTTTGGTTCTTACTTGCCTTAGTAAGAACAAAACACTCGACAAAGCTAGCTAGAAAACTTCACAGCGCAAAAGTTTTGTCGAATGTTTGGTTCTTACTTGCCTTAGTAAGAACAAAACACTCGACAAAGCTAGCTAGAGAATTTCACAGCGCAAAAGTTTTGTCGAATGTTTGGTTCTTACTTGCCTTAGTAAGAACAAAACACTCGACAAAGCTAGCTAGAGAAATTCACAGCGCAAATTGTACGGGAAGGATATGGAATAAGAATGCGATCTGGAATTCCAGGAGCTGTTTTTATGGCTGCAAAATCCTGCACCAGTTGGTCACTGTTGGTAATTAAATGAAACAGTGTAAATCATGAGATTATAATGTGATGTTTACTATCTACCAACTGGTGCAGGATGTCTTCCATCCGCTCTATGAGCTACAATGGAGCCGAATTGGCTTGAACCAAAATGATGCCAACAAAGAGGACAATATCCAAAGCTGGTGCCCAGTTCATCATCCACCCCTTAGCTTACCCAGTTGCTTGGGTAATATATTGTGAATATAATGGGATCACATAAATACATATATGCGGTAACTACATTTAAATATACGGACTTTTAAATATACGAACAGGATCGAACAGGTATTTTAGACTACCTCCGGGAAGGTTTTCCTTGGCCCGCCCAGCCATTTAAACATGCGGAATACACTTCATTTCAACATACGGTAACTACATTTAAACATACGAACTGGTATTTCATACTACCTCCGGGGCCTTGCGGTCTGGAACGCCCTCCACATATTTAAATGTTGTTACCGTACATTAATATATATATAGGATGACAATGAGCTGACATATAATGGGATCATATGAATCATATGATAATGTAGTGGGATCACAGATGTTGCTATATACCTTGAGGTAAAGACACCGATGACACCTTTGTGCCTCGTCATAGTTGACATTGTCAAACATGGCATACCTTGGCACGTTGAACCAGCAAGCCCCCCTTCGCTGTCGTGTGATGACACAGTTGGTAACATGTGCCAAGGTCAAGTTCCATGCTATGCAGTTCCATGGTCAAGTTCCATGATCATCCCACATAAGTATCAGGAATTCATTTTGATTGATGGGTTCTTGATTATCCTCGTATTGCCCTCTGTTAAATTAACATAGACCCTGGCAGTCATCGGGGTTGGAAAATGAGTTTCAACTAACAGATGGTGATTTTCAGGGTGTTAATTTACCAAAGGGTAGTATGAAACCATCCATTTTGGTTGATGATTCTGACCCATGACTAGGGTCAGAACGGCTCCACCGGAACTTGTTTTGACTGAGTGATGGGCGCAAATTCCCACAGTGTGTTGGAATAGTTCGTCTTGAGACAAATTGCAGAACCCAACCAGCAGGGGGGGATAAAAAATCAATTTGAACAACATGCCAATATGCTAAGATGCCAATTATGTGCATGTATGGCATGTATGTATGTATATATATATATATGTATACATCAGTGTATATACATATTAGCTATCATATGCCATTATATGTATCAAACAACTTCAACTCCATCCATCATCCAGCGCGATGGGAAAAGACAGCAGGCTTTTGAATATTGCAAAGTTCCTGTAAATGTAAATATCAACTTTTGGGGTGTATTAAATACTATTCAACATTTCAGGTGTTGTTCACTGTTCACCCCTCAAAGTGACTCACAATTTGGGAACGTCAAGACCGTCAAGACAGTATGATTCAGAATTATAGATCCCAAATTTGGATGGTTTTAGATCGCAATGGGTCCACATGTTTCCAGTCGGGTCTCAAATCTATCGATATACTTCTGGTCAATGTGTCTATACAAAAAAACTGACCGCACAAACATTTGCGAAAAGGAGATGATATTTACGAAAGGGAGATGATCTTGAATTATTCGCTTTAGTCTAAAAGTCTGGATAAATTTATCCAAAATCACTAAGGCTTAGCTGCATTGAGGCCGCCGCTTTCATTTCGGACCCAGCTTTACCCCGGCCGACAACCCTGAATTGGTCATGTTGGGATAGTTGCCCCTACTAATCATATCCAATCATCATTCCACTGACGTCGCAGTGAGGTTGTTGTAATTCATCCACAGGTGTAGAAACTACGTGTCTACACGGTAGGGCCCCTAGTTATAAGTTGGTTTATAAACCCCATGAATACTATTATATCTACGCATAAACCATAGAATTCACCTAGTCATGAACCAACTTAGCTATCATGAATCAGCTATAAATCCCGATGAATCCCTATGTGTGTTGCTTAAATCACAAGTGTTCTGTAGGTTTTTGTTTGGGAGCCCCACCTGACACCTTTTTTCAGTGCCAATGGCAGGACTTTTACCAAGTGGCTCAATGACTCCGCCGAAGTCGTCCTGGACCAATAAAAGTCTGGAACAAAACCTATATGACCCATCAGAATGTGGTTGAAAAGGTGAAACAACAACAAGAACAAGAACAAGAACAAGAACAAAAACAACAACAAGAACAAGAACAAGAACAACAACACCAACAACACCAACAACACCAACAACACCAACAACACCAACAACACCAACAACACCAACAACACCAACAACACCAACAACACCAACACCACCAACAACACCAACACCACCAACACCAACGCCAACACCACCAACAACAACAACAACACCAACACCAACAACAACAACAACAACAACAACAACAACAAGGGAACACCGCCTTGAGGCGGGTGTGGGTTTTCTACAATTGTGTACTTGGTGATTGAATCAAAAATCACCTTTTTACACTGTAATTTGCAGTATTTTATGCTTGTGATCTATGATGTTTTGACGTTTGCTGCAAGATGTCAAAATGCCAAAAAAAACTTTTGCAATTCCGCAACATCTGCTTGAGACATGAATACATAGATATTTTAAATACCTTTTACACACACATATATATATATATAAACATGTAAACATACATGTATATAAAAACACGCGTTTTGATAAATGTATGTTGTAAATGAACCTAGCAAAGTTGGGCAACGTGTCTTCGGTAGCGTCATCTTACAGTCGAAAGGAACGTTATCATCCCCACCCCACCCCCCCACCCCCCTCCCGGTCAAGGTAGCAAGACGTCAGCAACAAAGTTGGGCAACGTGTCTTCGGTAGCGTTATCTTACAGTCGAAAGGAACGTTATCATCCCCCCCCACCCCCCCTCCCAGTCAAGGTAGCAAGACGTCAGCAACAAAGTTGGGCAACGTGTCTTCGGTAGCGTCATCTTACAGTCGGAAAGAGCGTTAAACACGTATACTGCCAAAGAGCACAAACGTGGAAAAAACCACGCCCGCCTCGGGGCGTTGACCCCAACAACAACAACAACAACAGCAACAGCAACAGCAACAGCAACAACAACAACAGCAACAGCAACAGCAACAGCAACAGCAACAACATGAACTAACCATGACTAACGACGATCAAAAGCCGTTTACAGTATATATTTCAACACGAACTGTGGTTTTGCTTATTATATCGAACCAAAAATCATTTTGAAACAACAAACGAAGATCCTGATGGTTTGGATTGTTGGTTTGGATTGCTTTGGATTATATATTGCTTGAATGCTGGAAACTCAATCCTGTTGACGTTGGTCAGTTCTTTACATGTCTTTGTGAAAAAGCACAGCGATGCCCACATTACAGCGATGGGAGACCCACGGGCCCACTGGAACACTTGTGAATCTACCGACACTTGTGTTTTTAAACCCAAAATGGAATTATTAGAAAAACCAGGCGAATTGATAATACATCACATGAAACAATATGACAATAACAGTGATTTTGGATTATTTTGGGGTTTTCAAACTTGTTTCGGCAACTCCAGACCAACATCCTCCCCATCTCCCTGAAGCTTCACAGCCCCCGAACCTCACCATGGTAGGAGTATTGCCGCGGTAACGACAAGTTGCCCGGGTACCTGATGCTGGTGACAGGTGACACCCCATGGGGTCTGCGACCTCGCCTGTCGAAAGCGCCTTTCATTTACGGATCACAATTTACAGTAATTAGGACCCAGGGACACACTGATTTTTGTTCATTCTTAGTGTATATAAAATTTTATCTTTTGGTCCAATTTGTCCCACCTTTCGTGAATGCGCGTCAGTATATGTCAGTTCTCCTTGATAACTCTATCCAGTTAACCCTATCCTGCAACGAAGAAGACAGGACAGGTTGGGATATGAATCGTCACCCGGTCTTCGTTAAACAAATGGGTTTGACTGTACAGAAGAGGCCGTAAAGGCCGTAAAGCCATTTGTTGATCATCTGTTTTGGCGGTATACTCCATGTTCAAACGCAGCCACATTGGATGTTTGAACATCTCCATCTACTAGAACGCAAAAAAAAGAAATGGTTGTCAAACTAGGAACTAGTTGCTTCAAGAATAAGATGTTCAAACCTCTGAGGAAACGAAACACCCTACTCCCAGAATGTGCCTCTCAGTGGCAAGTCGGTTTTATAAGACCATTAAAAATTGTGAGCAGATAAGGTAGATATATCTAACTGTGAATATAGTGAATATATCTACCCCACAAAAAAAGTGAACTGTGAATATATCTACCCTTATTTAGAAAAACTTCAGAACTTCATTTAAGGGTGGTCCCATGGTCCCACCAAACCACCAAGGTTGAGACATGAAGGCGCAGCTCACATTGAAGCTTTCCAACTTGGCGTGGAAAGCTATCGACCCAAGGCCCTAAAAAATCTGATTCATTCCTATGTTCAATCCATACCCCAGGATTTAAAGAGTATATAAAGCTTTAGTGTGCACATATTCAGATATGTGCTCAACTTTTCTAGCACTCTCCCAAACAGTATCAATATTCTTTCTCATCCATGGTACTGAATCTCTAAATAACACCCCGAACGCTCCCTCAGAATGGACTTGTATCCATACAGGTACAATGTGGTACCTCCCCGTTCTGAGTTGCTTCATTCTCCGCATTCACTTTAGATTTATCTACCATAAACTCTAACTAATAACCCATTTCCAAAACAACCCAGCAAACAAATTTGGGCGACCCAATGACCCATGAAATCACACTGTTTGAAGGTTAGCTTAGAATCCCATGACTAACCATATTAAACCACCAAGTTTGCTGGTTGAAGGTTAATATTAAACCAATATTAACCCCTGTAGGGTCTAATCCATATTAACCATTTAACCCCTATAATCCCATTTAACCCCTATAATCCCATTTAACCCATTAACCCTTAAACCACCCATATTAACCCCTTGTAGGCCCCTAGGGTAGGGGAAAAATCTACTCCGCCACGTGACACCGTCTCACAAAACTTCAGGATTCCCCACACCTTTGCCCGTGGGCTCAGGAGCATCCACCCCGCTATAGCTCCTCGGCCACGGAACACCACTGTTGGCGGGTTATTGACATAGGGAACCTGTTTGAAGCTGGTGTGATAGGGATTCTTGTTTAACATATATATATATATATGTAATTATATATATATACATATAGTGTGTATATATATATATATATATCTGGTTGGTGGTTTCAATCCCTCTGAAAAATATTAGTCAGTTGGGATGAGTATTCCCAATATATGGAAAAATAAAAAATGTTCCGAACCACCAAACAGTATATTAATAATTATTTATATCATGTACATACTACACATGTTACAAAAACAGTGTTGGTATATCTTCTCCGATGATTTTGAACTGCCGCAGAAGAACAGTCTGACAGAGGCTTTTCAGAGGGCCGGACAGTCTGAAACCAGCGACACTTTCTGTGGGCGCCGTCAAAGAATAGGGGACAGCCAGTCATATCGGAGTTTTGGATGTAGGGTTTGATACTCTAGAGACTTGCACACCAGTGGTTGCACCAAACCTCAGCTTGCCATGGAACAAATAAATCTGGAACTTGCCGGGTGTTTTGATGAACCTCAGCTTGGTATAGCCATGAAACAAACTTCTGGCCCAACAGTATGCTCCCCTACTGCTTACATTCATAATTGCAAAACATAAATACTATGGCAGCCATCCATGAAAAAATCAACAATCTCCAGATATCCATGCCAGAAGTTTTGTGGTTCAAAGAAGCAGCTGTTGGTCTATATGCATCTATATGGCCATATGTGATGGTACCGTACCACCCCTATTTCATGACTTTAACATATTGAACACCCCTGTCACCTGTCAATTGCTAATCCATTAGATGCCACGTAAAACTCGACTGGTTCTATATTTCCATGTATGGCGCAAAAATATATGAATCAAATTTAACTGTTCACCTACCCTTCTCAAGGTCTACCTAGTATCGATACACACGGCTTAGCATAGACACTAGTACACTTCAAGAAATAATGCGTGAGTTTAAGAGCTTTTCCATGAACATGAACCAAAACAACGGCCCAGAAAAAACACACAAATCAAACTGACGCAACACCTCTCTCCCAACATTCATGATCCCATTTCTTTTTTTTCACATTATTACACAGATTGTTGGCCAAAAAAAACCACCCGTGAACCTACCAGGGTAGCCGCAACGCCTGGGTCCTCGCACTCCAGGGTGGCCTCCAAATACGCCTTGCCCAAAGGACCATCGCCACCTAAGGCCCCGTGGGTTCCATTGGGAAACTTTCATCGCTGGAGGCTGGAGGTTTTATCGCTGGGAAAATGGTACCAACATATGCACAAATGCGGGATGTTCTCCTTGTTTGATCAACTCTATATTTTCCTATCCACGTCTCATTAAGAACGGTTTGGATTGGTATCATAAAAGATGAAAACCAGAAACCATGGACTTACCCACCAAATATTATATGGCTGTTGCCTGCAATTTTTTTTCCTTCAACCAATTCTTGGGCGCACACATTTGGACCGCTGACCAAACCCTGTGTGACCAGACATGTTCTTCAACTTGGGCCTGTCGATGTCCCTGGTTGGGTTAGTTTGTTTACCGTTTAATAGGTATAAATTAGTATACCATATAATAAAACCAAGACCGTCCAAAACGATCCAAAGCTGTCCAAAACTGTCCAAACCCATCCAAAAAACCCTAAACATGACTTATCCAAAGAAATCCTAAGGTTGAGGCAAAAGAGGGGAAAACCTGCCTTCCCGTGGTGCCAAAATGAGGACATTGTCCAGAATCCTACCCCACGATGGTCCCAAAGCCGCCAAACAATGCTAGTATTCGTTAGTCATGGGTAAACTAACATAGATGTGGGAAACCCATAGCTTATCCCAGTTAATTTTTCTCCAAATGTAAGGTTTTCCACATCCAGACTAGTTTGCAGGAGGGCGATTTCTCTATTCTTTGTTGATATGAACGTCCGTTGATGAAATGTCCAGGTATTCAGGGGGGGTTCAACCATCCACCCCTTTCGGTGACTATCCACTCTCTACTATCCCAGACGTTGTTGGAGGGGTCAACGATCCTCTTCAACAGTTGCCCAATACTGTAAATATGAATATATATATAATTATATATATATGAATATCCTACTTGACAGTTTCCATCCCGCTGAACCATATTATTATATGTGTAATCCCATCCCCAAAAAATCGAGTCCTCCTCCTAGAAACCATAGTTTAGTATCGGACCCCCCAAAAATGGTCTGCCTAAAAATTGGATACCGCAAAATCTTGTGGTTGGACATCGTTTTCCACATCAACTTTCCCATGTGGAGTAAAGCCGTTTTCAGAAACACCGAGATCATGTCATCATACATATTTATTCTGTTTGATTATAAATCAACATGTTCCTTGGGTTATTCCCATTAACAGAATCTTAGCCATACTCCAAGGCTGGCCATACTCCAAGCCAACATGGCTGAAGCACCCTGAAAGCAGTATGTTGGTCGTATTCGTGCATCCTATGGTATGCGATGAAGCATCGGTATGCGTTAACCCTGTAAGTAACCTGGACAAACTATGTGGAGTACAATGTTTGCACGGTATGCGTTAATTTCGTGGAGGTATGCGGATTGAGCATGCCTATTTCAAGTTTAAGGGTATTGTCCAGGCATTGCCATGATAGGCGATGAAGTTCAGGTACGTGTTCTCCCTGTAGATAGCCTAGAGCCACTATATGTGGAGTGTTGTGGAGTACGATGTTTGCATGGTATGTGTTACCTTTGCGGAGCGCGTTAAATTTGCAGAGTGTGTTAAACTTGTGGAGTGCGTTCCCGCTCAGGTATGTGGAGTACAATATTTGCGCGGCATGCGTTAACTTTCCCAGTTTGGGCGACGAGGGGTCCCCAAGTTTGTTGGTTAATGCATAATATGATCATCACAATCTTCTTGGTTAAACATGGTAAAACCAAGGTAAAACATATTTCATCATACAGGATGGGCCCCCCCAGATAGATCTTACAAGTGGCTTCACTATGGTTTATAGTCTATATAGTAGATATAACTATAGTTATATAATGGATGTTAGTGGTGCCCCAGTTCGTTAGCTAACTTGGTTTATAAGTCCAATAACTAGGGTTTATGGGGGTTATATCTATAGTTAATGGGGTTTATAAACCAACAAACATAACTGGGGGGGCACCATCCTGTAGCCTCCGCCAAATCTCAGCTTCCGCGCTATTCTTCCCCTGGATGTCAATTTTGGTCACCTCGACAGATGGAAATTCAGCCAACCATACAAGGTGCGAAGTGACACACACACACGCACACGCATAACTTGGTTAATGTTTTGTTTTTTGTGGAATATGTATATATATATATATCTATTATATATGTTATATCATATATTGTTAATGGGGGTTATAAACCAACTTATAACTGGGGTGGCCCCTCATTGTATACATAGCAAAGTTATTTGATGGGTATAAAAAAAAGGAAATACAATGGGAAGATAATGGAATATGATAGGGATACAATAGGGATAAAACCTCTCCCCACAGTCAGCTAAGTTTGTTTACAAGTAATACAACTGGGGTTGGTATATATATATATAATATATTCCTTGTTAGATGGGTCTATAAACCAGCAAACATAGCCGAGGGGCCAGACATGGTAAAAATCTTGCATTTAAGCATCAAATCGTATGAGAGATAAACAACTCATTTGACATAGGGCATGACATAGATATCTGAAACTATCTCTCCATAAAAATCTCAATGATGTACCCTCCGGTAAACTAACTAACATAACTAATTACGGAAAATCACCATTTTTGATGGGTAAATCCACTGTTTCGACTGGGCCATTTTCAATAGCTTTGTGTATGTTTACCAGAGGGTATGGTGATGGATAAAGAAACTTTTCGCTGAAAGAAAAGCTGACTTTCCTGTGATTCTGTCGTCACGAGTCCCAAGATGTCCAAGTCAGGGAGCTACTCCGATTTTTTTCGGTGTCTTGGGGATCCCCCATGACTCAAGACATACCCATATGAGTAGCGGACAAAATGATATGTTACCCTCCGGCAAATTAACATAGACCCTGGCAGATAGGGGTTGGAAAACTGGTTTCCAGTAAAAATTGATTATTTTCAGGGTCTATTATTAATTTACCAGAGGGGAAAATGTTCATGTCATGCACATATTTTCATATTTTCCATGATTTTGTTGGTTACTCATATCTCATATAGTTTCTGAGGCTTCAAACATGTTAACCACCTTTGAACCACCAAACCACAAAGGACTTTTCGCATGCCGAGAAATGACCAACCAATCGAACGAAGGTGACAACGCCTTTAGGTCACCTTGAAAAAGGGGGTTGGGATCCCTATGTCGACATACAGTTCCTCAAAAAGGAACGTCACTAAAAAACAAATATATAGAATACATAGCCTGGAATATGATACCGCATCATTTAGTATACTATATTCATATACTGAATATAATCAATAGCCTGGAATATCCTGGAATTGGGGGACTATATCCACCATGCTAGAACACCTGAAACGACTGCATAAACTTGTTGTCTTGCCATGCAACGCTGCGAACAATTATTTTCTGGTGCCTTCGTGGGCACTAGCCCAAGGATTCTGGATGGCCGCGGGGATGTCCCGTGGAGAAATCCACATACTTCTTGTCTTAACAAACGAATCTTGAGAACTGAAACGGGTCTGAATTGCCATGGATGTTTTCTACCACAAGTCTGCATCCCCTAAAAGGGTAGAATGCGTATATGATTTCTGACATCTTTTTCCATGGAATTGGATGGAATTGGTGGATTTCACAACATCACAGTGGAAAAAAAACTTCATCCACAGGTGACATTTGGATAGACAATCAGCTAGGCTAACTCACTAACCAGACTTCTTGCAGTTTTTGGGAGAGTTCCCATCCAATCCAACAACTCCCATCATTCCAAAATCCCTCAAAATCACGCACCCTCTGGTAAACATACACAAAGCTATTGAAAATGGCCCAGTCGAAACAGTGGATTTACCCATTAAACATGGTGATTGTCCATAGTTTTTTGTATGTTTACCAGGCCGGGTAAAATTCTATGCCCCCCCACATTGGTGCAAAGCTTGATATAGGGCATGAGGCCGTACTCCTCACTCACCTGAGCTCGGTCACATCGCGACATGAAAACCATGGTGATTTCACGCCTGAGATGGGAGGTCTACCTCCTTGATAATTATACCCACAAAAATAAGTACCAGTATATATATATATTCGTACAAATTATAGATTTATGATATGCATGATATTCATCATCATGTATTTAATACATTTGTCAGTAGGGATCATCATCCCTTTGGCTGGGACATCAAACCATACATGAAACCTCCGGTCGCCTTGTGGAAATGCTCCAGCAACTCATCGCGCGAAGGCCAGGTGCTCATGTCTTTGGGAACCTGGTCGACATGAGGAATTGAGGATTTGAAGTATCAACATTTAGGGGTCAAAGGACGTAGAAATGCTAAAAATCATGGGATAAATACATATGTTCAATTGTGTTCATAGATTTTATCTTGAAGGTCTAGGTACATGAGCAGGATCTCAGCATTGGTTGGGTCACAAATTTGAAAGTTGCAGTTTTCTTGCGGGTCTACTAAGTTCCGCCAAGCCACTTATTTAGTCAGCAGGATCAAACTCTCAATAGTTGGCTCCAAAAAGCACCGTTACAATCTGGGCCCCAGTGATGGTTGTTGCTTTATAAGCCCCATTAATTAACTATAGTTATAAGATGTTATAAATATCATAAATCATGGTGAATGGAGTGATGTTCACCAACTTCGCTATCGTCAACGGGGGGGCCCAGGCCCCCCAGGCCCCCCAGGCCCTTTTTGTGGCGAAATCCGTGGGTCAAGCTGCACCGAGCCCCCCGACATCATTGATTTCGTCGAACTGTAAGTGGTAGGTCCCCAGCTCAGTCTGGAGCTTTGAGGTCTTGTTGGCCTCCGGAAAATCACGGGACTTTCAAATCAGGTGTCACCAACCACCCAGTCACTACCCTCTGGTAATGACTGTTACAGTTTGCTATGGAAAATGGCCCATAGAAATAGTTGGTTTACCTAAGATGGTGATTTTCCATAGTTTCTTGTATGTTTACCAGCGGGTATGGGGATTGAAATGGATTGAATATGTCTTTAGCGAACAAACACATTGGGATTCAACCAGCCAAACAATGCTTCAGAAATGAGGATTTGGCAGAAAACACTGTGTTACTGATTCAAAGCAAAAGATCAGACCAAGCCTCAAGTGACTCAAGTCCAGTGCTGATGTTAACAATGTTGCTTAAGGTTTTTTTCCAGCAACAGGACCCAGTATATCCGATATATCCCCAACACACATGAGTCAACCATGAGTCAAACAACTGTTCTATCCTGACCTGCAGGGACCAGCCAAACGAATCTCTGTTTAAGCCATGACCAGACCCTTAAAATTTTTGGTTGTTGTTTGACAATGTCTCTTTGGATACATTGAGGGTTGATTGGCTGTATATACCCACTATTATTGGTGTCATGTTTACTATTATTCGGGTTATTGTCGAAGGCGAAAAAAGAAGGTTCGTGATGGTTCGTGTCGTCTCCAACAGCCCGGGATCGTCTGCCTCAATTGGGAAACGCAAACCTCTTTTGCTTCGATATCGGTTGAGGGACGTGTCAAACAAACTAAACACAAGCAGTAGAACTGACAAAGACATACAAATTGCCACTAGGAGCACCAAAGCTTTGAAGACTCGATGGCAAGGTCACCCGCTCCAGGCTTTGGTTGAAGCCAGCGCCAAAACTCAAGCTTTGAAGACTCGATGGCAAGGTGACCCGCTCCAGGCTTCGGTTGAAATCTCTGCCAAAACTCAAGCTTTGAAGACTCGATGGCAAGGTCACCCGCTCCAGGCTTCGGTGGAAACAGTTGCCAAAACTCAATCTTTGAAGGCTCGATGGCAAGGTCACTCGCTCCAGGCTTTGGTTGAAGCCAGCGCCAAAACTCAAGCTTTGAAGACTCGATGGCAAGGTCACCCGCTCCAGGCTTTGGTTGAAATCTCTGCCAAAACTCAAGCTTTGAAGGCTCGATGGCAAGGTCACCCGCTCCAGGCTTTGGTTGAAACAAAAGCCAAAACTCAATCTTTGAAGGCTCGATGGCAAGGTCACTCGCTCCAGGCTTTGGTTGAAACACTCGCCAAAACTCAAGCTTTGAAGAGTCGGTGGCAAGGTCACCCGCTCCAGGCTTTGGTTGAAACACTCGCCAAAACTCAAGTTTAGAAGAGTCGATGGCAAGGCCACCCGCTCCAGGCTTTGGTTGAAATGATAGCCAAAACTCAAGCTTTGAAGACTCGATGGCAAGGTCACCCGCTCCAGGCTTTGGTTGAAACACTCGCCAAAACTCAAGCTTTGAAGACTCGATGGCAAGGCCACCCGCTCCAGGCTTCGGTCGAAATCTCTGCCAAAACTCAAGCTTTGAAGACTCGATGGCAAGGTCACCCGCTCCAGGCTTTGGTTGTACCTGTCTCCAAAACTCAAGCTTTGAAGACTCGATGGCAAGGCCACCCGCTCCAGGCTTCGGTCGAAATCTCTGCCAAAACTCAAGCTTTGAAGACTCGATGGCAAGGTCACCAGCTCCAGGCTTCCGTTGAAATCTCTGCCAAAACTCAAGCTTTGAAGACTCGATGGCAAGGTCACCAGCTCCAGGCTTCGGTTGAAATCTCTGCCAAAACTCAAGCTTTGAAGACTCGATGGCAAGGTCACCCGCTCCAGGCTTCGGTTGAAACAGTTGCCAAAACTCAATCTTTGAAGGCTCGATGGCAAGGTCACTCGCTCCAGGCTTTGGTTGAAGCCAGCGCCAAAACTCACGCTTTGAAGACTCGATGGCAAGGTCACCCGCTCCAGGCTTTGGTTGAAATCTCTGCCAAAACTCAAGCTTTGAAGGCTCGATGGCAAGGTCACCCGCTCCAGGCTTTGGTTGAAACAAAAGCCAAAACTCAATCTTTGAAGGCTCGATGGCAAGGTCACTCGCTCCAGGCTTTGGTTGAAACACTCGCCAAAACTCAAGCTTTGAAGACTCGATGGCATGGTCACCCGCTCCAGGCTCTGGTTGAAGCCAGCGCCAAAACTCAAGTTTTGAAGAGTCAATGGCAAGGCCACCCGCTCCAGGCTTTGGTTGAAATGATAGCCAAAACTCAAGCTTTGAAGACTCGATGGCAAGGTGACCCGCTCCAGGCTTTGGTTGAACGTCTTGCCAAAAGTCATGCTTGCAAGGCTGCAGGGGAGATGCTGTAAATATTCTCCATGCGTTGCTCCTTTAAGATGTGTAACACCTTCTAGTGCAAACTCTCTGTCACAATTTGGGAGCTCACAGGCATAACGCCATGCTGTATACACATCAGTTGGTATGTAAGTGCAGGACAGCATTGCGGTTTTTCCAACAATCCCTTGGTCTTCCAAGTTTTCATCCAGTGTCAGTTGTCTATTCACGCTATGCACGACGAGCTTTGCGCCTGCCTTGCATGAAAGATTCTTTGACACCAACCTGCGAAGCTCATATCCAAGCATGGAGCGACTGACAGTCAGTGTCACTCCTTCCCCAGTCAAGCACAGCACCTGAAGCTCGATCTTATCAGCTTCATCTACTGCACCTTTGTCAGCAAATGATGGTTTTAAGTAGCCATGTTGTGCACCCATTGCTCGAAATTTACACACGCACCACGAAAAGACTGTAGCCGAAAGGTCTTCAACGCTGCTTGATTTTTCATCTATGGCCTGTCTTAGACCTAGTTGTACTGTAAAGGTTGTCGGCTGTGTACAAGAATGGGGTACCACAAAATCCAGGAAAATTCCGCACTTTGTCTCATGATTTTCCATATTAAATCATCTGATAAAAATCCATATCCCTATAATTTCCCACATCCAGTTGTAAGTGGACTAACCCTATAAAAACAATGAGAACTATAATAGTATGTATATATATATATATATAGGGATCGATATCCAGTTAGTTGTACCCTCCGGTCACCAAAAGTAGTACTGGAACATCCCCCATTTACAGGTGATTGATGCTGATTGTCTCATTATAAACTCCATTTAGTTCCTTGATTTCCCAGCTGGCCACGTTTGATTACCAGAGGGTAACCAAAAGTTGGTGGTAAACACATTCTCCCGTTGAGTGCGCCGTGAATTCTGGTGGCTTTCCTGTAAGGGAATAACTAACTATGGCAACTGTGGTGTTCATGGGGTGAAACTAAAGCATTACAAAAAATAACAGCATAGCCTAGAAAGCAAGCCTTGGCTGTTTCCAACAAAGTACCCTGCTGTAAATGGTTAATGGATCACTTAGAGCACCGGATCACTCCGAACACCATGGGATCACTTAGAGCACCAGAGAACTGGATCACTTAGAGCACCAGAGAATGAGACCTTTAGGACTAGTCTTTAAAATAATAATAACACCAATAATAGTAATCATCATCATGATTGTTGTTATTATACAGTATCAAACAGTATTATATAGTATTATACATTATACAATGTATATATATATATATAATTGTATGCGCATCTATAATACACCAATTAATACACTATATCGTTATAGGTAAACAAATTTAACGTACGTGCACATTTCCAACGAACGACCGTGACCGAGTCATCGTGGCCCATCGCACCTGCGAAATCCAGGAAGTTCCCCCGACCTGCGCGGGATCAAAAATTGTGGACCCCCAGTGTGCTGAACATGTGTTTGTTTCGTTTCAAGAGGTACCCTCTGGTAAACATACAAAAAAATATGGAAAATCACCATTTTCAATGGGAAAATCCACTATAAATGGTCATTTTCAATAGCTATGTTAAATTACCAGAGGGTAACTGGTAAAAACACAAACATAAATTTGCTGTGTTGGCGGTATAGGTATATGATTTAGATCTTCTACACAGTCTATGGCCCATGGCAACATATTGGGGATATAGATATGAACATAGGCTTCAAGCGGTTTACCATCATGTTCCCTTCAAAAAAAGGTTCATCCCCTCGGCCCTTTTGGGGACAATTTAAACATGTCATCTCACATCACGTTTCATCTCTCATGGTATCAGGTCATATTTTTCACCCAAGCGTCAGGGTCTGCTCCTAAGTGCCCCCCACAACTTAGACTTACACACCCAAAATTCCAAATGGAACCTCAAAGCCATTCTTTAAGAGGCAAACCATTTTACACAACAAATTGAAAGTTTCATGTTGGGCAACGGGCAATTTATCATATTCCCTTTTATGTGGAACATGTAAAAACCAGTTTCGGGAGGTTCACCTCCTGTATAAACCGATGAAGAAATCAGCTAAACCGAGCCGCAGTGCCACCTTGTTTCGGCGATCGACGATGACAAAGTCCTTGAAACCACGCTGCAGCAGGTACAGGCCCTCAGAAAACGGCGATCTCATGGCGATGTTCGCAAAAAACCACCCTGCCGGCATCCAAAAAAATGGAGCTTTGAAGAACGAACCTGGTTGGTGCAAGGTGGTGCCCCACAGTTAGCTAAGTTGGTTTATAAGTCCAATAACTATGGTTTATGGCAGATATAACTATAGTTAATGGGGTTTATAAACCAGCTTATAACTGGGGGGCACCATCCTGTGGTTAATATATGGTTAATATACTGTTAATAATGGTTATTATATGGTTAATGATGGTTCATAATAATCTGGTTGGTGGTATACAGTACCTACCCCTTCTGAAAAATATGAAAGTCAGTTGGGGTGATTATTCCCCATATATGGAAAAAACATGTTCCAAACCACCAACCAGGAACAGATGGAAACCTACCTGACATACTGTGGATGGCTGCGAAATCCTGCATCACCAAAAGGATGTTTCAAACCTGATACATAATGGGATAAACCACCTATCAACTGGTACAGGATTTTTTCCATCCACACTAGATTGAAATAGCTAGGGATTATATACACCAATCCAGGTGGAGATGCTAAATAGTTTCCCGCAAAAAAAAAAACAGGATGATTGGTTGGTGGTTGCTTGGTGGTCTTGTTTGATCAACTGTCAATTGGAGAATGAACAACAATTGATAAATATTCGCAGTGAACAAATGGGGAGATGGGAATATGCATTGGGGCTAATAACGATGTTGTAATCCCAACGAAGTAGAGGATTGCCCTACTTACCCAGCGGGAAACAATATATTATCCTATCAGCAACATGAACCACCAAGCAAGCATAGATAATAGATTATAATAGAGGCTCTGGTGATAAATTTCAACATGAACCATGGGATGAAATTGGTCACTTTTTCTACAGCGTATTCAAGCCTACATGTGTGCAATCACAAATCAAAATTCATGTATAAAAAAGTCAAACATGACTGAGTTTGTCAAAAATGGCGGGTACCAAGACTTGTGGCTATTCATTTTAGATTTTTGAAACACAATACACTACGGAAAAAATGCGGTATGCTGCGATGTTTTGAAACAAATGAATGGGACGAGATACCCACTGCTAATCAAACACGGCAATGTCAAATCACCAATTTATACATGTTTTTTCCACTCAACTGCCAATTTATAGTGGATTTCCGATTGCCACAATATGGGCCCGCCATAAAGGGGGGCCGTATTACATGTTGTTTGCTTCCCCAAGGGCAGTTTTTTCAATCGTGTCACGTGTCGCAGTCCGATGTGACCAGCACCGATGATCAGGAAGGGATCAGCGTACCTGCAGCAACTGGAGCGTTTTGGCACTTCAAGGAGTCATCCCCATAGCATCCCATGGCATCCCATGGCTATGTTGGTTTGCTGGAGAGTAAACCAACAAGTGAGCAGTGTTCAAAACCCTCCGTACTTCCATGGAATACTGGCTGCAAGTAGATCATAGGAATTCCCATGAGCGACGATGAACATGATCCACGATATGTTGGATAAAATGATCCTTTAACAATGATCAACAAACAGAGGCTTTGAACACTGCTCAAGCCTCCAAACATACACGCCGAAGAGGCCTTTTTTAGGGTTTATAATATATATTATATATGTTTTAATCCTTCATACCCAGTACGGGGGGAAACTCTGGCTCGGGAAAATTGAAGCGGAAAAGCCTGGCTGGTGCCACTAACGGTGTCATGTAAATGTAAATGTTCACCATCTTTGATCATCTCAATGTTTCATTGTTTAAGACACAGTATACAAATAAAGAAACTGGAATTTAAACCACAGCATTGGTCATATTATAGCTATGCCAAAAAATAACAAAGTAAAACCAAACGAACAAATAATTAAACCATATTAAAACAATCCTGTTGATCCCCGTGTTTGAACTAAATCATATACCTGGCATACCTGGCCCCTGAAACAAATCAGCACCCGTTGGCGCACGTCATTTTCTCGGGCTTGAAGCTCTTGATTCCGCCTACCGTGACCTTTCGTCCCACCTGGCAAACCAAATAGACATGGGTCAAATCATTTGATCAATGGGAATTCCAGGATCCTAAAATGGGGTACTGTGCCATATAAGGCCATATTTTGGGGGTATATCCCCTTACATAGGCCTTACAAAGGCCTTACATATGGTAGGTACCTCCAATTTAGGTTCCTGAAATGGCCATTGATTTGATACCAACATGGATTTGTCCGAAAACAGGGTACCCCCAAAATCTGGTGGCTAACAATCATTTTCCCCTTTATTTTCCCCTATATGCTGCAAACGGGGGGGTTGCAAAATGTAAAACCATAGAAACCACTAACATAGCTCTTGGGTTTCATATGTAAAACCCACATTTGGAGACTAACCCTAGATCTTCCATTGATACATTTATTTCTGCTCGAATCGATTTCTGCTCGTTTAGGAAATTTCCATAACGAATCAATTTTGAGATGCTCGAACATAAAATTTCTGCTCGCTTTGGTTTCTCTACCCCTATCCCAACCCTGCACACACTCTTGCATGCACTACTTTCCCTTCCACATCAACGCGGAGATCTCGAGAGTTGCTGGGATCCTCAGTCCCGCTCCGGCTGGTAGGAGCAGGCAGCATTCCATTCTTTTCTGTACTGGATGAGGATCTTAGTCATGGTACTATGCACCATGTTTTGTTGATGTACAAAACGTCGCGTTGCGCGTGACACCTTTCCAATGTAGTCCTCATCGCTCCATGTCATTTCACCTAGGCGGATGCGTGCACACTCGCAGCAAAAAAAACACTGCTCACACACGTGCACACTCTCGAGGCGGTATGCATGCTCATGTACGCGGACATGCACACATCACATTTACCATCATATACCCAAGTTCTGAACATGCCGGGTTCAAGATCCACTCAGCGCCGTCTTCCAGTTGGTATTCCATTTCCAGCCTGAAAGATTGCCAAAAGCAATCAAGAGCACAGGGTAGAAACAAACAGCGCACACAAAGCCAAGCAGCTGCACATGCATATGCATGTGTAGTTTCGAGCGCATGTAGAAAAGTCGCCAATCTTGGATTTTTGCAAGCCTTGCTAAGGCCCCAAAGGATTCCTAGGACAGTGGGCGGCACCATGACTTTCAACTGTATGCACGCACTCACATGCGCATGCACGCACCAACATGTGCACACTTTTGCAACACCTACACATAGGATTGATGCAAGATTCAAGCATGTCGAACCCAGAAGAGACAGCAGTCTGCGCTTCGCTACGCGAAAGCCATAAATCTCCATGGTACAGGGTTCTAAAAAACTGACCCGTTGCACTGATCCCCCACTTTGCCACGACGACCATGTCACGACATTTTGCCTTAGATGCGCGCTATGAATGTGCACTTATGCTAGTTGGATGTGCGCCCAACTATCAAGGTTGTGCCTCCCCAGTTATAAGCTGGTTTATAAACCCCATTATATCTACCATACCATCCATAACCATCGTTATTGAAGTTATAAACCAACTTAGCTAACTATGGGGCACCACATTGTATAAGTGGTTTATGAATATTGTTACATAGGTGATTTATATATGAATTATAACCTAGTGTTATTCTATACTTGGGGATATGCATACATGGCTGGGGTAATATACGTAGCTAATAAGTATTTACTCACTAACTAAGTAGGGTGCTCCCCATGGCATTTCTTCCTGTCTTAATGAGCCCCCAAAATGGATGCCTAAAACAGGTCACATCAAATGTTCGATCTTTTTGGGGTCGGTATACCCAAAAATGCGAGCAAGAAGCAGGTACAGTTGCAGGGTCTAGTGGAGTCAGAATGGTTTCCAACCAGCCAGCCACCAGTGCACAATCTGATCCTTTGCCAAGTCCCCTGGGATATTTCTGAAGCCTGAGTTGGGAGTTGGGGATGCAAGATAAAGAGATCCGATATAATTAGACATCAAGAAAAGCAACCCTGTAAAAAAAGTTGTTTGTTCAAGTAACGAGGAAATCTTCAGCTCTTTCTTGGAAAATTCATGAATGGTACTTGTTTTCGAATGAAGCCGGCACCATTCCGAAAAGGAGTCATATGCCCAATTCAATTGGTCTTCGTACCCTCCGTTCCCAAAAAGGCTGCACCGAACGGCGACAAGGACAAGGAGAGATGCAACCTGCTCCTTGCCCCAACCCGCTATTGCGTAGGTGTGGGCGAGATCTATCCGGATTGTTTTGACCCCCCCACTGGGCAACATGTTCCTAATGGAAGCTTTACGACCACGATGGAAAGGGGACGGAGACACACCATGTTTTGGCCAGTTTCGTGTTGCTCCGTTTCGTGAGAGGTCAGTCCAATCCTTGGATGGCAATACTGTAGTAGTGTTTGGGCATATTATACAACAAGACTTTAAGAGGCCCCAACAAAAAACATAAGGCATGAATTAAGTTGAGTGTCATGACTGGGGCAAATATGACATATCCTTTTGCTGGAAAAGCCAGTTGAAAGTCGGTAGCAAGAACGTAGAAAGGGCCAGTCACCCTTTGTCCCGCAAAAGCGGGCATAGAAACGCAAAGGCTGCCCGTTCCACACGACCTTGGTGCACGAGGGTCTATATTAGTGCCTCTTGCATGTAACTAGTCATGCAATAGCTCATGTAGCTATAGAATGCAACAAGGTAACTTCAATCCCTTCAGTGTAGAGTTTGTTGCAATCGTCCACAAGTGCTTGCATCAAACATTGCATACTGGCACCATTGGCAGCATAATTCTCTGATGGCAGCAGTGTATACAGCATCCGGGTCGTCAACGTGTTCTTTAGATTGGAGGAAGTGGGCACAATTAACACGTGATCATTAATTTATGGGCCATATAGTCACCTAGATCCACAAACTAAGTATTAGTAACAAAATAGTACCTAGCTTGAGCTTTCTGAGACTCTTTACTGAATTCACCCGCTGGACTCCATTTCCATCCCAGCTCATCAAACCCTGAAAGCTGATAACAAGTACTGGACGTTTGACTTGTCCCCTGCCTTCATCTCCATGCACATAAAAAGGCAGTGTTCTCCGTGGATTTGGCGGGGTGTTTGAGTCTACAGATTTGTACCTGTCCCAAAAAAGCTCTAGGTTGTCCTCAGCCTGTACCAAGTTGTCTAACTTGAAGCCATTGAGAAGGAAGAACCCTGCAAACTGGTCAGCCTCCATCCCGGTTTTAATCCAGCTCGACAAGTGGAGCACCGGCCAAGGCCTACGGGCAGTGGCGAATCGTCGGGAGACCCGCGTTTTGACCGGAGTCATCACGGAGGTGATGGGCACAGGGAGAGTCTTGTCTTTTTTGTGGATGTATGCATGCAAATTACGACTCAGATTCGATCGGTTTGCATCGTGTCGAGCACGGTCTGCTAACTCCTCGATCTTCTTGTCAAACACTCCTAAGTTATGAATCTTAATCGAATGGTAGTGTCTAAATTTGGGACAAAAATTTGTCATCCACATGAATTGCAAAAGAGGTTCCATGCTTCTGAAGAAGTTTTTGTGTCTTCTCCACACGTCCCATGACATCTTTGGCGCTGGCCTCGCGAGATGATATAATGTATGGGCATGCATAGATCATGTGGGTAAAACATCATAAGTATATGCCGTGTTCCCTTTGCATTTGCCAAGGTACTCCAGTAGCAAAACTTTCAATCAAATCATCGCATAGATCTTCAGCTAGATCTTGTTCTCCAGAATCATTTCCTGGGCTGGCAGTAGTCAGAAAATCAACTGGGTAAACTTATAATATGTAAATTTCAGGGTATTTGAACTTCAGTGGTTTCTTTCCATATTTGATAAAGGTCCCGTGGTTGAGGTCGAGTAATTATCAAGGAAAGTCATGAGACCAAGTGCATCCAAGGATCCATAGCAAAGCTCATCATCGCGATGACCTGGCTGTATTTTTTAACCAGTGATCGCTCCCCAAGAAAGGTTGAAAATATATATTACCTGGTACCTATTAAGGGGGCCCGTCATGTCCCGTGTTTGCATAATGTTCGTATCACCCTATATGTTTTCAACCTTTCTTGATTCGAAGACAACAAGCTGTTGGAGGCTATAGCACTTTTTATTCTCCCATGTGTTGCATCGAACATGGTGGATCTGCATCCCCAAACCACAAGGATTGTGTTGCCGCACTTGCAACAACGAAATTGATCTATGTCGAATGCAAAGCCTCTTTGTCAAAAAAAACATTTTTTCGGGTGTAGTAGGCAGCAACGACTAATTTTCAGGGTTTCCTTTCATGTTAGCACAGGAGGCAGTAATGCATCCAGTCAACCCAAGCGAGCATGTGTGAAGATTGGCACACAATACTCCATATATATATCATGATGCCTAGGCATCTGCTCGGGGTTCCTTTTTGGCCCCCTTTGCTTTGGCTTTTGCCTTGGATTTTCCGGCTGCTTTGGCCCGAGGCGTGCAAACTGATGGTGCCGTGGAAGCCGCAGAGGACGGCCGCATTCCCCTTGGATGGCCGGTCACGGGACACATGGGAAGTAGAATATTCTTCTATTGCGCTAAATTTGGGGGATGGGAATTATGAGCCACTCAATGCCATTGAGGATCTTTGAACGCTGCATCAAACCATTCATGCCAACATCCAGCTTAGTGCAACCGACAAAGCTCTGCTGGATGTCTGTGCGGAATTGCCTCGGAAGAGGCCCCTGAATCAGCGACCCCCCAAAACACTCCCAAACAAATTGGCTTTCAGCACTATCGTGCTCTGATTTGTTTTTGACAAAGAACTGGTCCATCCCTTCGGGATTCACCGTGGCTTCTGACAACTGTTGTGCCAATTTGTCATAAAGGTCCTGCATCTTCTTCAGCTGGTCGGTGATAGCAGTAATCAACCTAGGTGAAGGGATCCGGTTTTATGATAATATATACGATCCAACTGTGAAGTAATCAATTTAAATTTATATTGCATTAAAAGGAGCCCCTGAGCAGCTTTCGTATTCACAGTTCGCAAGCGATCCTGCGGGCATTGGTGCAAACCCCGAGTATCGATATTAATCATCCGTATTTACATGCATGTACATGCTACATGTTTTCAAATTCTGTCCAGCTCTGCATTGATCTTGTCCAACTTTTTCCCCAACACTTCGACAAATTGGGGGAGAATCGTCAAAGGCGAAGCATTGGCCACAAGCGTTGGGAAGGTCATCCTAGGCTGATCACTTTATAGATTGTTCCATGCATGTTTGAAAAAGATTTGATCAAATCTTTTTCAAACATGCATGGACCAATCTAAAATGGTAAATCGAGATTAATTATTCAACACTACCATGTTTGCTTAAGCCAAAGAATCTTGAAAGTCATTACACCGGCAGCACTCGAGATGCCAGTGTTGCCCTGATCCCCCTGCCCAGAGGACTGAGAGCCCTGGATGTTGGTCAGCAAGGCGTTGTCGGGGGCATCGATGGTGGTCAGGGTGCTGTCCAGCAGGGTCCCATTTGGATCCTGGTGCACACACATAAGGCTGCAAGGCCCCCATAGTTGGGAAACAGTTAGCATGGGGGTATTGTTATGTTGACTTCTGGGAAAATGAATGCTTTTTGAGACCCCCAATCCTCACATTCAATTGAACCTGCTTGTTCATTTTCTTCCACATCGGTGGCGCTGATACAAAAGGTGTCTGAAATCACCAAGAACGCTTCAGGGTCGCCGTGAACAGCATTGGTTCTAGACTTCCCATTCTTGTCCGCCCATTGGAAAGCACGGTCAATCATCTTCCTCGGTCCAAATTCATGCGTTTGAAAATTGTCTTGAAATCACGGAATATTTTTTTGATCTAACCAAAACTGAGATGGTGTCTTGGTCCATTGGTGATGATGTTCAAGTTGACCCCTGGTATACCATCCACCCGCTTTCGCTCGCTGGTTGCTCTCGATGTGCTTCTTCTTGATCTTGATCTCTAAAGACTCAAAGCTCCCGTGCTCCATGAACATTTTTTTCAGTTCTTGGCCTGCCAACGGTGACAGTTATTTGAGGCATTAGTGGGTCTGTGCTTTTAGGATATTCTTATATAATCACTATGGAATCATACAGATCGAATATAATATGGAATCATATGGGATCAAATCATGTGGAATCATAAGGGTATTTTATATGGATATACCCACGGAAAAAAATAATACTTTAAGCCAAAGAACGCTGCTCGGGGTCTTTCCACATCTTCAAGGCTTCGGGAAAGCACTTCAGAGAACCATCGACTTTGGGGGTAAAGTACCTTCGCAACCTCAGATTTGGATATTCGATCTATGGTGATTTTGGGGCAAGTTGGGAATAGATTCAACGACATTCTTATCCACGCTAGGTTGAAGGAACTAACAACCAATTCTGTCAGGAAACTTCCAGTATGGATTTTTCACACCGGCATCTTCTTGGGGCTCCATATTTGACACAGAGTCAACAGCATCGTCAACCTCTGCCCCCGAAGCTTCAGGGGCCAAGGTTCCAGGTGGCCCAGGCAAGGTTCCAGGTTGCTCAGGCAAGGTATGAGTGGGCGCAACACCTGTTGGGGCTGCTAGGGATGCTGGCGTTGTCGGGGTTGGAGGTGGAATCACTGGCTCTGGCGTGCTTGCCACTTCCATCCCAGGAACCGAATCACATGGGTTTGGGTACTCATGACCATCAGGATTCCCAGCACTAAAGTGCCCAGCAGACTGGGCTATGTGTGGGGCCCCTGCGACATCGGGCTCAGGCGTCAAGGAGTTGGCTTGGTTGGAAAGCCGTCGTCGCAATGCATCAATTCGAGACTGGCTCGCCTTAGCCCCATTAACAACTAACCAGAACCAACCGGCCTTCTAGAGTTCAAGCATGCATGCTTTTAGACTTGAATCATGACATGTGCTGGCAGGTAACTCGAATCTTCTCTTCAAGCTCTCGCTTGCGAGAGGCGCCAACATCTGCGGGAGCCATGCCAACCTTTTTGATTCCTTCCACCAAGGTCTCACTAGAGGAAAGGCGGTTGGACATATATGGAAAGGCCAAATGCTTAGGGTAACAGGCTGAAGCCAAAACACTAATTAGAAGGTCTATGTGTGTTTGAATATGCATGACTACCCATCAGCCCATCAGCATAGGGTGACGTTCAAAAAATGCTCGAATCATCCCCTTCTATGGTATCAAAAGGGACGTTTTTTAAATTTGCGCCCGATTGCGCTTATTTGCGCCCGATTGCGCCAATTTGCGCCCGAAGTTGCGGCCTGAATTTGGCATCAAATTTTGAATTTCCAACAGGTGGGACCCCAAAATCTAATTTTTGTACGTTTGACATGGTGTTTTCAATGGCATCCTCTTGGGGACCACTCGTTTTCAATTTGGGGCCACTGTTGGCACACATGGGTTGTATTTCCCACATCTATTGTTCAGAACCCTGGGCTTTTTTCAGAAAGTCCGCAATCTCCGTGCAATAGCTTTCTTGGCTGAGAACCTCCGCCACAAAAAAAGGCTATTAAATGGGCATGTATCAGGCTATGCATGTTTGACATTGATTCAGCTAGAAATTCAAAATAAAAGACATGGGCCTTTTCTTTGTACTCATCCCAGAACATCTGCATTGACATTTGCCATTCTGGTGGAATCCTTCAGGGACGTGACCAAGGCAAAAGGTAGCTCCATGGGGATCCCGAAACTAAATCACTGGGGTGTTTCGAATGAACACATATTATATGTCCCCCGGCCTCAGTCGTTTGGAAGTGAACAAATAACTCAAGGGCTCCCATAGCTTTGCATCTTCCCACAAATCTTCCATAGGCATGTTGTCAAACTGGGCCCTGATACACATTGGTTTGAACGGCTGGGGTTTGAATCGGAGTTCCCTTCTGCCAGGACAAGTGCCCAAGTGGTGCTCCCACGCTTTGCGGAGATTCTCCCCGAAGCCATAAGGATAGCACCTGGGACCGGAGTATCCAGCAGTGGGGAACGGGAACAATATAGAGCACTAAATTCAACCCATAGCAAATTATCTAGGCCAAAGTGCTGGCTTTTTTTGAGATCAGGAGTTCCATGAAAACGTTCACGTCCAGCTTTATCTCGGTATTTTCCTCGGGGTAAGTCATTAAATATGCAATGTTTGGCAAAACATGGTAATACCCCAAAACCCTATCTTTGAGGGAATTCCACAAACCACTGCCACAAAGCATCGAACTAAAGGCTTCCCAGTAAGAGCTTCCCGAACTTCTTTTTTCAGGGGGCCCAAATCGAGGTGTGAGATTTCTTGCATGCAGCTGTATAACAACGTCCTCTTTGGTGTGGGTCCTCCATGAAGAGCCATCCACATCTCAGTTCTCCATACCTCAGCGCATGGGTTTCAATGTAGACAGACCTAGAAAAGCTACAGATACCCCATGAGCCAGTTTGGGCAAGACACAAAGCACACGTGGTTGCAAAGCCAATCATACCGTCGATGTTTTTCAAGAAGTGACCCATGTGGCTGTTCCAAGACCCACAGTGCATTCCGGGAAAGAATGACCAATATAAGTAATACAGTCCTCGGGAAGCCGCTGATCACTAGTATATGACATTATTGTGCCACATCCCATGCTTGGATGCCTAGTGCATGCATGTCTCCGTGCCACCATGCACCCGGAGTCTTGAACCCACTGGAGGAATATATTCCCAAAGACGTTGATAGGTGATCGTTTTGATGTTCCTCTGGCCGGCACCCCCCACGAACTGCAGTCTGGAGCTAATAGTCCCAGACCATTGACAGGAAGCTGCATGACGCAATGCAACGCCAGCCTGAGTTGGAAAGGTGCGGGGATGTGTGGGGTATGGGCCATATGGTTTCCTATATTCAAAAATTGATCAATTATAATACAAGGAGGATTAGGATCACTCTTGCAACCCCCAAAGTCCCTAAAATAATCCTGCCTAAAGCAGCATGCTATCTTTTTTGGGGTTTTGCAGAATACATCAATCAAGCGTCAGGAATCCTGGTCCAGTTAAGAAGTCCATGGGTTTTCGATCGTATTCCCGGTCATAAGCAGCACATTGATAGCCATTGTCTGACCTAGTGCATGCATTGATCAAGTATGGCATGAGGTGCACTGTATACATGATGTCTGGGATTTGACTTAGTGAAAATCTAGGGTCAATGCATGCATCTTGTGACTTCAGCTCGGCCAGCAAAGATCTCAACAAACTGATACGAAGTCCGAGGTATATCCAGCCATCCTGCCAACAAGACCTAGGTGACATCTTTTAGCTGACCCCCTAGTATCCGTATTGATCGCGGTTTGAAATCAGAGTTGATTGTATTGCTTTCACCCCACCAAGCTCTGGACCAACGCAATTAGCACCTGACCGGGATAGATACTTCAAATACCACCCCCCAAAAAATTGCACACTTGGCATGCTGTATAGATTTGAATGGATCTGATGAGCTAATGCGCCTTAGGTGCTTGAACATGCTGAAGGTTGGAAAAGGGACAATAGGGCATGACAACTACCCAATGTGTTAGGTCTCTGGACCTGCTGTTTGATCCCAAGGCTAGGCATAGAAGTTGCCATCCCAAAAAAATACCAAATTCCATCACCGTGCAAAACAACAGTGCTTGCAAGTCAGCGCTGCAACCAAGCCAGGTTT